CCTTTACATCGGAGCGAGTCTCGAGTTTGTCAGTTGGGGTTAATTTGGGAGGCTTTCTCAGACCCAACACTTCAATCCCAGAACAAATATAATAAATCATAGTCATTATTTCTGTCAAACTATTTCATAGATATGAATACAATAATAGAAATGAGAAATAAAATATACGTGCTGAAAATAAGATATAGTATGTCAGGCTAGGACAGATATGACACACCTGGCCTGGTCAGTTTAAGTTCAACCCAACTTTACCATCATCTCCCATTCTTACTGCTTCATAGATTTATCTCCCACCTTAAAAATGCCCCTCTTAAGTAGTTTAGGTGGATTGATTTAGGAGATTTTAATATGTTTATTATTTAAGATTCATAAAGTTCTGCCAATGATTGTTTGAACTAAGAGTTGACATAGGCTTGGCACCAGTGGCTCAGGTGGCTCAGGTGCCAGCCACATACACCTGAGCTGGTGGGTTCAAATCCAGCCCTGGCCCACCAAACAACAATGATGGCTGCAAGCAAGAAATAGCCGGAAATTGTGGCAGGTGGCTGTAGTCCCAGATACTTGGGAGGTGGAGGTAGAAGAATTGCTTGAGACCAGGAGCTGGTGGTTACTGTGAGCTGTGATGCTACGGCACTCTACCCAGGGTGACAGCTTGAGGCTCTGGCTCACCAAAGAGGAAAAAAAAAAAAGCCCCTCACAATCGTGGTGGTCAAGGCAGGGTCTGGATGGGAGATGAGCTGGCAGCCCTCAGAATAAGCAGTCATGTGACTGGGAAGATGGCTGTCTTTCCTTGGCATTCCAGGAATAGGAACTACAAAGCTGAGTTTGCATCACCGCCATCTAGAGGCTATCCCACTGGAGTTCCGGGACTATCATTCTCTGAAACCTGTAACTGTCACAGAATCAAAGACAAAGAAACTGAACTGGAAAGGAAGCACTTCTTCCATGTCCTTCTCCTCCCCCAGCTCCATAGTGGACCGGCTGAGCACAGTCTTCGATAGGACTGACCCCCTGCCCATGTTTGCAGCCTCGGCGGCTGCCATGGACAACTCCAGAAAGAAACGTGATAAAGATGGTAACTCCATTGTCAGATTGGATTTTGAGCCTTGGGCCAATAAACAGGGAGAAATCTTTGTATGATTCACAACTACAGAAAAGCTATCTATCAATCTATTTATGGGATCTGAAAAAGGAAAAGCTGGGACTGCCACATCTACGATGTCAGAGAAGGTTCGGATCCGACTGGAAGAGCTGGATAACTCTAAGGAGGGTTCCCAAAAGGAGCTACTGAATTTGACTCAATAGGATTATGTGAACTGCATAGAGGAGCTCAACCAATCACTGAAGGATGCTTGGGCCTCAGACCAGAAAGTGAAGGCTCTGAAAATAGTCATCCAGTGTTCCAAGCTTCTTTCAGACACCAGCATTATTCAGTTCTACCCAAGCAAACTTGTCCTTATCACTGACATACTTGATACATTTGGAAAGCTTGTGTATGAACGCATCTTTTCCGTGTGTGGATAACCGCATATCTTACCAGATCACTTTTCTCCAGAGAATACAAATGACATGGTCAAGGAAACATGTCTAAATTGGTTTTTCAAGATTGCTCTATCAGGAAACTCATTCCAAGATTTTATGTGGAAGCATCCATCCTGAAGTGTAACAAGTTCCTCTCTAAAATGGGAATTTCTGAGTGCCTATCTCGATTAACGTGCATGATCAGAGGAATTAGAGACCTGCTGGTGTCAGTGTATGCCTGAGCCTGTCTGTGCCAAGTGGGAATGGAAGTGGCTCTGCATCTCAAATAAAGCCTAAATAAGAACATTTCTGACTTCCTCCTTATATTCAAATAGATTCATGGGGACACCATCGAGAACCAGCTGGTGGTCCAGTGAGTAGATCTCCCATCCTACCTGCCCTTATACTCACCAGCCATGGACTGGATCTTCTAGTGCATCTCCTACCATGCTCCTGAGGCTCTACTGACTGAGATGATGGAGAGATGTAAGAAACTAGGAAACAAGGCCTTCCTGTTGAATTCCATCATGTCAGTCTTCTATGTTGAGTTCATTGCCATAAGGTCCATGGATTTCATTGGGATGATCAAAGAGCACGATGAGTCTGGTTTCCCCAAGCATCTCCTTTTTTGATCACTGGGGTTAAACTTGGCCTTAGCTGATCCTCCAGAAAGTGATCAACTTCAGATTTGCAATGAAGCTTGGAAAGTTGTCACTAAATTGAAGAATCCACAGGACTACATTAATTGTGATGAAGTGTGGGTAGAATACACCTGCAAGCATTTCAAAAAACGAGAGGTGAATACAGTTTGGGCTGATGTCATCAAGCACATGACTCCAGATCCAGCATTTGAAGATTCCTACCCTCAGCTTCAGTTAATAATTAAGAAAGTGATTGCCCATTTCCATGACTTCTCAGTTCTTTTATCAGTGGAAAAATTTCTGCCATTTCTGGACATGTTCCAAAAAGAGACTATGCAGGTGGAGGTTGGCAAATGCATCATGGAAGCCTTTATCAAGCATCAACAGGAGCCCACCAAGGACCCCGTCATTTTGAATGCCCTTTTGCACGTTTGTAAGACCATGCATGACTCTGTGAATGCACTCACTCTTGAAGATGAGAAAGGAATGCTGGATTTATAAAAATGGTTTCCTTTGGCCATGGTTTTGAACAACAGCTAAGTTTTTACATGAGTCCAGGTCAATGGACTGCAGTCTGGAACCTGTTCTTGTGCAGTGATTCACAGTGTGAACTGGCTAGCAATGGAAACGAGGAAAGTGATGAAAGTAAATCATTCCAGAAAGACAGCTGCCTTAGTCCGGGCCTGTGTTGCCTACTGCTTCATCACCATCCCCTCCCTGGTGGGGATCTTCACTCATCTCAGTCTCTACCTGCATTCCAGTCAGGTGGCACTGGCCAACCAGTGTCTCTCCCAAGCTGACCCAGAGATAAGCCTCATTCCAGAAGTTCCAAAGACGATTAATATCGATGGAAAGATATGGCCATTGGAATCATTCCTTATGGAATTCCTCTGCAATTTCTTTTCTACTTTTTAATAGTTCCAGATCATCCTGAACATGGGGTCCTGTTTCTGGTTTTTTTGGATGCTAACTGGCATTTATTTATTTATTTTTGATTTTCTTCTTTTTTATTTTATTTTTTTGTTTGTTTTCATTTCTTTTTTTTATTTTAATTAAATCATAGCTGTGTACATTAATACTATCATGGGGTATAGTGTGTTGCTTCTATATACAATTTGGAATACTTTCATCCAACTGGTTAACATAGCCTTCATGTCACTTTCTTAGTTGTTGTGTTAAGACATTTATATTCTACATTTAGTAAGATTCACATGTACCCTTATAGGATAAATCTTCTTAATGTGATCCAAGACTATACCTGGGAGGACAGCAGCAACAACTCAATCCGCATCTACACCTGCGCCCTGCACCTCCTTGCTGCCATGAGCCGGGAGACCTATCTCTACCACATAGACAAAGTTGACTCCAATGACAGCCTCTATGAGGGAGAGTCCAAGTTCCTGGCAGAAAACAACAAGCTGTGCAAGATGGTGATGGCTTAGATCCTGGAGCACCTGAAAAAAACTGGCAAAGGATGAGGCCTTGAAGCACAGAGCTTGTTGGGACTTTCCTTCTTTAACAGCATCTTGGCCCACGGGGACCTGCGCAACAACAAACTTAACCAGCTCTCTGTCAATCTGTGGCACCTGGCATAGAGGTATGGCTGTGCAGACACCAGGACCATGGTGTAAACACTGGAATACATCAAGAAACAAAGCAAACAACCAGACATGAATCATTTAAGTGAGTTGGCCCTCAGACTGCCTTGGCAAACAAGGACCTGACCCCTGGGCTCATCCTCAGGCTCAGGGACTTACATTGCCAAGTCTAGAAAGACCTCCTTTGCTGCCCTGAACTCTCATTGGAATTTAGGTTTACTGTTTTCATTCTTACATATATACAGATTGGTTTAATCTTTGGCCTCTACCCAGGTTCTTCTGACAAGGCACAAGTGGGAATTGTCAGAGCCTTAAAATCCAATGTTCTTTATCCAGAAGCAGCATCTTACTGTATCTTTGCAAAAGTGCCCTTCAGGTTCTCAGTAAGCACCAAGTGGAGGAGCCGATGGGCCTTTAGTGAGAAAGAAAAGAGGGTAGTAACATCTTTCTTTTCTGGAAGATGTTTTTGTTTTATTGCTTACAAAAAGGACTTAGAAAAGCAGTCCACTTTTAAAGTGTCATTGTTCTAGACACATTCTAGATTTTGTACCCTAAAGTTAGAAAGCACTTGAAGTTTGGAATTCAGTGCTGCCTATATCTCTTTGAGGAATTTATACAAGGCTGATTTATCACTTAACCCCTGTTCCTATCAAAAGCACATCTTAATTGGACCTAGAATATGTCAAATCTGAGATCCACTGTGGTTTCAGTATACTTTACACTGCAAAAGTAAATAAATGTCCTGAAAGAAAAAAAAAAGAGTTCGCATAGTTTCCATTTTAAACTTAAATATATCAAACTATAATGTTAAAAATGGAAGAACAGAACAGTCTTAGAGAGACTGCTCTCACTGTTCTCAAGAATTCTGGCCGTCTAACAAATAAAGTTTAGTGGTCCTGTGTGGCGCCCATAGGACAGTGGTTATAAGGGTTGCAGGTTCAAACCAGACCCTGGCCAGCTAAACAACACTGACAGGTGTAACAGGAAAGATGGCCTGGTGTTATGGCAAGTGCCTGTAGTCCCAGCTGCTTGGGAGGGTAAGGCAAGAGAATCACTTGGCCTCAAGGGTTTGAGGCTGCTGCTGTAAGCTGTGATGCCACAACACTCTACCTGGGGTGAGAAAATTAGACTCCTTCTCAAAAAAAAAAAAAAAAAAAAAGAGAGAGAGAGAGAGAGAGAAAGAAAGAAAGAAAAAAAGAATTATTACAAATCTATACTATTCAAAACAGTCCGGGTGGCTTTGGCGAGGTGGGTGAGAATCATGGCAGGACCAGAAAGTGATGCCCAGTTCCAGTTCACTGGAATCAAAAAATATTTCAACTCTTATACTCTCACAGGTAGAATGAATTGTGTACTGGCCAAATATGGAAGCGTTGCTTTGATAATCTTATACTTCAAGTTAAGATCTAAAAAAACTCCAGCTGTGAAAGCAACATAAATGGATTCTAAACTGTACTTCATCTATTAAGTTCCCATGCCTGGAGAAGCTAATGTCACCTCATCCTGTGATACTCAATTTGTACAATAAATTATGAACCTGGAAAAAAAAACAGTCTGGTACTTTCCGTAAGGAGAGACGAATAATGAAACAGATTGTTACAAGGCCTAGAAATAAATCCTTATGTATATGGTTAACTGATGTTCAGCATGTTTCTTATCACAATAGAAAAAGACAATCTCTTCACAAAATAAGGGTGGGGATACTGGAAATCCAAATTGGACACACTGAAGTCAAAATAAACAAACTGGGCTTTTGATAGCTTTTCTAAAAGGAATTTTAAAATTTCCATTTAGTTCACTCTTAGTTTACACAAATAATTTCTAATTCCTTATCTTTATTTTGTATTCTGTAGCTTCACTGATTTTTTTCATTGTTTTAAGAGATTTTCTCGTGGGGTAGTCTTAAAAGTTTCTTAATATAAAATCATTGTCTGACAACAGGGACAAATTAGTTTCCCACTTTCCAATCTGAAAGACTTTCTTTGTATTTTGTTATTGATCTCACAATAATTTCCATTATTACGTAGAATATAAGTGAAGAAAACAGTCCACATCTCAGAGAAAATCTTTCAGCATTCTCTGTTCACTACAATATTAGCATTGGATTTTCATATGTGGTCTTTATTCTCTCTCTCTCTCACACACACACATATATATACATATATATGTATATATACCTTCTATAGCTCATTTGTTGAGTGTTTTTACTCATAAAAAGGTTGATGTATGCTTTTCTGCATGCACAAAATGTGTAAAAAATGAAGATATCTAGCTATAAACTTAATTTAAAAGATCAACATAATCTACACTAAAAACCATAAAACATGGATGAAGAAATTGAAAAACACACAAATAAATGGAAAGTTATCTTTCCATTGTGTTAATATATTGACAAAAAAATTTAATGAACAATATACTCAATGTGATCTACAAATGTAATTCAATTTCTATCAATATACAATGATATTATTCACAGAAATTACTTTAAAACCCTAAAATGTACATGAAATGAGAAAATATCCTAAATACCCAAAGCAATGCTGAACAAAATATACATGTAGGCATCACAGTACCTGACTTCAAAATTTACTAAAATCCTATAGTAACCAAAGTATTATGGTTACTCGCACACAAACATGAATGGGTCTGAAGGACATCATGTTAAATGAAATAAGCCAGATGCAGAAAGACAAATACTGTATGATTATACTCATGTATATATAAAATCTTTTAAAAAAGTGGTATCATCGGAGCAGGGAGTAGAACAATAGTTACCAGGGATTGAGGGAAGGGAAGGGGGTCACAGGTTGGTTGACAGGTACAAAAGAAGGGAAAAAGTTTTGCTTTTCTATTGCAAGCTAAGAAGAAATGGTAAAGTAAGTAAAGTATTATATACTACAAACTATTTAGAGGACTATCTTATGTATGTTCTCACCACAAAGAACTAATAAATACATGAGGTAATGTGTACAATAAATACCATCACTGTTATACAATATTATATGAAAACACAGACAAAAACTTAAACAAACGTAAGACCTATAACTATTCTTTTTTTTTTTTTAATTAGCTGGGCATGGTGGTATGCTCCTGTAGTCTAAGCTCTTAGGGAGGCTGAGACAGGAGGATCACTTTGTTGTTGTTTTTTTGAGACAGAGTCTCATTTTATCACCCTCAGTAGAGTGCCATGACATCACAGCTCACAGCAACCTCCAACTCCTGGGCTCAGGTGATTCTCTTACCTCAGCCTCCAGAGTAGCTGGGACTACAGTCACCCGCCACAATGCCCAACTAATTTTTTTTGTTGCTGCAGTTTGGCTGGGGCCGGGGTGGGGTTTAAACTCACTACCCTCGGTATATGGGGCTGGCACCCTACTCACTGAGCCACAGGCGCCACCCAAGACCTATAACTATTAAACTCCTAGAAGCATATATAAGGGGAAGCGTCAAGACAAGTGGCCTTTGTAATTATTTCTCACAAACAGTATCAAAGGTTTAGGAAAAACAGCAAAAATATGTACATGTCACTCACAAGTGTATCCACAATATCTGGCCCTGGACAAACTGCAAAAAAAAAAAAAAAAAATTGGATGACAATTTTATTATTTTCTAACCACAATTAACAATGTGCTGAATTTGCTTATCTGAAAGATATAATTAAAAAACTTTTGAAAAGGCTCAGCTCCTGTAGCTCAGTGGCTACGGCACTGGCCATATACACTGGAGCTGGCGGATCGAAACCCTACTGGGTCTACCAAACAGAAAATGACAACTACAACAACAACAACAACAACAACAAAAAACCCCCGGAGGTTGTGGTAGGCACCTGTAATCCCAGTTACTTGGGAGGCTGAGGCAAGAGAATCACTTAAGCCCAACAGTTTAAGTTTGCTGTGTTATGACACCAGGCCACTCCACTGAGGGCAACATAGTGAAACTGTCTCAAAAAAAAAAATTATCTTCAAATAAAATATTTCTCTTCCAAAATTATACAGATTCAAACAATAAATACATTGTTAATTTAAGACTATTTCTCCATTGCTCAACTAGACAGGATGGAAAAAATTCATTGACTACACATACCCACACTTGTAGTAAGTCCTAAATAATTATGGACAATGTAGGTCCTAAAAATGTATGGGCAATATTTATAAAAGAAGGGCTGTGCCTGTGGCCAAGGGTGGTGGGTTCAAACCCAGCCGGGCCAAACCGCAACAAAAAAATAGCCGGGCATTATGGCGGACAACTGTAGTCCCAGATAGTCGGAGGCTGAGGTAAGAGAATCACCTAAGCCCAAGAGCTAGAGGTTGCTGTGAGCTGTGATGCCAGGACACTCTATCGAGGGCAACAAAGTGAGACTCTATCTTTAAAAAAAAAAAAAATGCATAAATAAAAGAAAAACATCACAGATACTTTTACAGGCAATACACATGCCCAATACATATATAAATCATATGGTACATCAGACTAAAGTGTATAGACCTGAACATTCTCATCAAATTGTTAATATTTGGGTTTAAATTCTAAAAAATACAATCAACTCATCTGGTGAAACATACATTTGAAAAGAAACAAGGTAATATTGTTTAGCAAAAGAATAACACATTATGTCAAAAAAATTCTACATTTGGTATCTACTATTTTCAATTCTGTGCACCATGAAGATTGGGGCAAATTTTACACAAAAAATAGTAGCAATAACACAGCCTTGGAAAACTAAGAAAAGCTTCTCTTTCCAAGTGAAGGAATAACATAAATGCTGTAATATGTGGTGTGAATTTCTAAAATAAAAAGTAAACATTTGGGATTAATTTATATCATCATTTAAATATAAGCTGAGGAAATCAGCCAGGGTGACTATTTTATGAGCTGGACCCTCCCTACGCAATTGAAGCAACACCAAAAATACATTACTGGGACCTGATCAAACTTAAAAACCTTCTGCACAGCCAAGAACACAGTAAGTAAAGCAAGCAGACAGCCCTCAGAATGGGAGAAGATATTTGCAGGTTATGTCTCCAACAAAGGTTTAATAACCAGAATCCACAGAGAACTCAAACATATTACCAAGA